CCCCCGCTCCCGGTCCTTCTCGCCCCCGCTCCCGGTCCTTCCCCCCCCCGCTCCTTCTCTCCCCAGCCCCCGGTCCTTCTCTCCCCAGCCCCAAACCTTCTCGCCCCAGCCCCAAACCTTCTCGCCCCATCCTCCTCTCACGGAGGTCATGCGGGGTCTTACGTCTGTGGGGTGACCATGCCCGCTCTGTTGCTGTCTTGAACCCGCAGGGGCAGCAGGGACTGCCTGGTGGTGTTAGAACTTCTCCTCATGGCTCCTGGTCAGAGAGAAAACATTCGGCAGGTTAGCGGTTTGTAGGACGCAGATTATCCAAAAACCCCGCCCACATCTACAGCATGCGCCAGGCGAGCCAACACTCAGGGGCCCGGGGTACGAGGTGACAGAAGAGCCTCTCTGCCCTTTAAAAGGTGAACTCCGCCCACAGAAATGCTGATTTTTATAAACATTGCTGAACAGCCACCTCGTGTGCAACCCCAGATATTACCTTCTAAAAGTAGCAGTGACATCATCACCGGGCTGTACATAGCCTGAGCAGAGTGTCAGCTCCTGGGTCCAGCACCGTACTCTACCACTCACCAATCCCAGCACCATTATGGCGCCAGCTCCTGGGCCCAGCACCACACTCCCCTTTCCTGCAGAGTGTCAGCTCCTGGGCCCAGCACCACACTCCCCTTTCCTGCAGAGTGTCAGCTCCTGGGCCCAGCACCACACTCCCCTTTCCTGCAGAGTGTCAGCTCCTGGGCCCAGCACCACACTCCCCTTTCCTGCAGAGTGTCAGCTCCTGGGCCCAGCACCACACTCCCCTTTCCTGCAGAGTGTCAGCTCCTGGGCCCAGCACCACACTCCCCTTTCCTGCAAGAGTGTCAGCTCCTGGGCCCAGCACCACACTCCCCTTTCCTGCAAGAGTGTCAGCTTCTGGGCCCAGCACCACACTCCCCTTTCCTGTAGAGTGTCAGCACCACACTCCCCTTTCCTGTAGAGTGTCAGCTCCTGGGCTCAGCACCAGACTCGCCCACCTACCAGTCCTGGAATAATTAGTGACCATTATAGAGTGCCAGCTAGCGCCATTCTCACCCACTCACCAGCCCTGGTACCCTCAGTGTCAGCTCCTGGGTCCAGCACTGTACTTAGCCACTTACCAGCCCTGGTACCATCAGAGTGTCATCTCCTGGGCCCAGTACGGTGCACACATCCACTCCCCACCCCTGGTAACCCCAGAGTGTCAGCTCTCGGACCAAGCACCACAGTAACCCACTACCAAACCCTAGTACCACTTGAGTATCGCCTCCCGGGCCCTACGTTATACTGACCCACTCTCCAACCCCGGTACCAGGTGAGCGTCAGCTCCCGGGCCCAAAACCGAACTCACCAGCCGCTCTCAGCCTCCTCACAGCGGTTGAGAATTCAAACTCGGCGCCTGCGCGTCCCCCAATCCGGGCCCCGCCCACTTCTCCCAGAGCCGCAGACAAAAAAACAGCGCCATGTTGGTACTCAACATCTAAGGAACAGCCCCCACTAGTCACGTGACACGAGCCGCTCCCAAGTCGCTGTCGAATGGAAGTGGGCGGAGGAACCGGTACGCCAGACCTCAAAGCAACGCCCGCAAGTCACATGACGTGCAGCAGCCGTTGCAGGTCACGTGGTTTGGCCCGAGCGTGATAAATAGACAGGGAGGGGGAAAGAGGCGACATGTTGGTATACCCGGAAGTGGCGTATCCCAAGAGGGTGGAGAGTAAAGATGGCTGATGAGGACGAAGACCAGACGGTGAGTCGCTAGAATGTACAGATTAGATTACATCTAAGAATAGTTTTAGCTGGAGTGGGACCATATTGGGTTTATTGCAGTGTTGCCTCATTGTGGCTATTTCCTCACCAATGCCTGTGCCTTATGGATGGAAAAGGGATCTCACAGGGCATAGATCATTGAGCTATTGAAAGTGAACCTATAAAGTGTAAAACGGCAGGTTCAATGTAAAGTCTGGCTCTGGATGCGATAAGTCTGGTCCAGTGATGTGGAGTTGTGCTGCTTCTGGGTTCAAGACAGCCTTGTATATGTTCAGCCCACTTCTGTAAGCCCAGGGTGTCATAGCTCTGCCCCCCTGCCCTGGACACACTGCTGAGTGGGATGCCACATTATTACCTGGCAATACTTCTGTAAAAGTGATCTAGCAGGCAGCTGTGTAGCTCACTTTTTGGCTGGAAGACACCCTTTCTGTACCACCTGACTGTCCCTGGTCCACCCCTTTCATTAATTGGCTTTCAGTTCCGTCAATCATGGAGGATTGGCATCACATGACGGTGATCTGCGTGCAAATACAGCCTGCCTAGGAATGTCCGCTCCTCCGGACTGACACCCACCCATCAAGGCATTTTAATATTTGCATAACGCGTCCCGAGATCCATCCCACTGCTTGCATCAGGGCTGAGGAGTACTGAGACAGGCTGCTGTGATTGTTTCGGGGAGCTAGTACAGCACCCTGCGTGCTCCTAACATCTGCCTGCTCCTAACCTGCATTGCACAGAGAAGGGGGGGGGTTGGAAGAACCAGGGAAGACGAACTCTAGTTTTATTACACCTCGGCTTTAATGTTTCTCATTTCCAGTTCGAGGAGGAGAACGACGAAACTGCAGGAGGAGCGGAGGGAGGACTCGGCAGGCGGAAGAGGCTCTTCTCTAAGGAGTGTAAGTCGGTGCTTTCAGTGGGGCACACTGAGGGGCCTGTTTAACCACTTCATGCGGGTTCACGTCAATACACGCCAGCCGCTTGAAGTGGCTACACCAAGAACAGGGCTGCTGCTTCGTTCGCTTGTACATAAACGGCAATCGCTGTTTATGTACAAGCGATCCGGCATCTGTACAGGCGCCCGATCGTTTGCACGGTGCGGCGCTGTGTGCCCCCCCCTTCAATCTACTGGCAGCTTCCCCGGGCTCCGCTGTCCCCTGTGTGGGCCCAGGACCGGCGCGGTGGGTCTCCCCACATCGATCAGAGTGAGATCAGCAAGCTTCTAGCCTCTGATCACTGGACCCGGAAGTGATGTGTATTACATCACTTCCAGTGTCATTGTGCACACTCTCTGGCTCTCAGAGCCAGAAGAAGCTGGAGAAGCAGATCTGTGCTTCATCAGCTTCTTTGGGGTCCCCAGGTGACATTAGGGGTCTAAAAGTCCCCGGATGTCTCCATAAAGAGGACCTGTCGCACCCTATCTGCTATTACATAGGGAGCTTGTTGGCCTCCTATGTGATACCCTGTTTCCCTGAAAATTAGACCTAGTACTATTTTTGGGAATTGCTAAAATATAAGACTTACCCTGAAAATAAGACCTAGTTGTGACCATTGCCAGGGCAAGTGGTGGCATAAGGGGGGAGCCTGAAGAGCCGCGGAAGAGAATCAGCGGTGCCAATGAATGGTAAGGTACGGCACCCCTGATTGCCCTGATCACCCTATTTTTAACTTTGCCATTTGGATTATTTAATTTGGATTTGCATTAACTTTGGATTGTTGTACATTAAAAAAAAAAAAATAAGACCTACCCCGAAAATAAGACCTGGTGTGTTTTTTGGAGCCCCCAAAAATATAAGACTCTTATTTTCGGGGAAACACGGTAGCCATAAGGTTCGTGTAAAAAAAAAAAAAAAAGTAACATTAAAAAAATGCAAAAAATGTCTCCGCCTCCCACATGCACGCACATACAATGCAAACATGCGCCGCTGTGCCTACGTGCAAAAATTACGCTATAATTACGAGAAATTATTTTAGGCCCATCAGTCACTGTTAGCACTAAACTGATGAGCTGTGAAAGCTTTGAGAGTCGCCTATGGCTGATTTTTAGATATTGTAGTTTTTAAGGTTTTACAGGCGAACGCAATTTTAAGGCAATTGTGGTATCTATTTACCCGGCGTGACCTCGTCTTTTATGTGTTACCCAAAAATTGGGTATTCTATTATGTTTCTGTGCACTAAATTTCATTTTAGTGTATTTTTTCCTAAAAATGCTGGTTTCAAAAATGTTTGCAAATACCATGCGACATAAAAAATTGCCACTAGCATTTTTCTATTCTACGGGGTCTCTGCTTTCAGAACAGATCATTGGTTGGTGTGTGTGTGTGTGTGTGTGTGTGTGTGTGTGTGTGTGTGTGTGTGTGTGTGTGTGTGTGTGTGTTACGCAAAGAGGATTTATCAAAGGTGGACCAGACATAATCTGCAGCAATTGCCCGCGGTAACCTGTCAGCGTCTATCTTTGTTTTCAACGCTTAAAGGAGAACTATGCGGTGAGTGCTTTTCACTCACCTCATAGTTCTAGCCGAACAATTAGACTGTCACAGGTCGGCTCAGTAGATCGGGAGGTGAGCGAACACATACTGGGTTCGCTCACCTCTCGATCCTGTCACAGCTCTCTGCCGTGACAGGGGAGGGGCTGGATTCCCCCTCCCCGCTCCCATCTGCCAGCGCTGACTGGCGGAACGGGAGGGGGCGGGTACAGCTGGCTCTGCCTCTAGATAGGCAGAGCCAGCTGTCACTCACGCAGCTGGCCGGATCCCCACGTCTAAGTCGGGATACGCTCCGGCGTCTCAGTATACCGCGAGCTGTAGCTCTCTATATACTGAGCTTTAGGGTGATGGGAGGACGCTAGTTTGTGTCCTCCCGTTACCCTGAGGAGAACTATGGGGAAAACCCCTGACCTCATAGTTCTCCTTTAATGCTTTATACAGGGAAGATTACCTTTCTGTCTCTCTGGAGTCTATACCTCTTTTATAATATAGGAATGGTGGGGACAGATGAGGTCTAATGCTTTGCATAGGGGCAGATTACGTCTCTCTGGAGTCTATACCTCTCATAATACAATAGAGGAGGTCTAATGCTTTGTACAGGTGTAATGTAGGTATTGGTGTCATTTACTGGCAGGTTCCTCTGAGAACGGACAGGTTTTCTGGTCACCCGTGCTGACACTCTGCTCTCTCCTGCAGTGCGCTGTATGATGTATGGATTCGGAGACGATCAGAACCCGTATACAGAATCGGTGGACATTCTGGAGGACCTGGTGATAGAATTCATCACCGAAATGGTCGGTATAAATAACTTCTAATTATTGTCTCAATTGTTTATACTGAAAACTAGTGTTGTTTTATCTTTATTTGTATCCCGGCTGGATGTTCTGCTCAAGCCGAAAAACACTTACCGTATTTTGCGCTCTATAAGACGCTCCGGACGATAGGACGCAGGGCTTCTGTGACAGAAATTCTGTCACAGAAGCTGCAGTTAGTGACCGCTGCGACAGGTGGCGCTGTCTCAGTAATCACACAGAGCAGACGAAGAACGACGTTCTGCGTCTGCTCAAGGGGCTCTATGGTGAGCTCCTATGGACCCGTCACGGTCCCCCAGAGGAGCGGGGGACCCTGAAAACCACGGCGGGGCAGACACGATCGCCGCCGCCACTCGATTTAATTAAACGAGCAGCGGCTCCCACTGTACATTCAGCTCTGCTTGTCAGGAGCAGGGCTGAATGTACAAAAATAAACTACTCGCCCGCCGCCCAAAACTGCATGTCGGGCGATAAGTATTCGCTCCATAAGACGCAGGCACTTTTTCCCCCTCCTTTTGGGGGACAAAAAGTGCGTCTTATGGAGCGAAAAATACGGTATTTGGCTATTGTTAAAGTAGATTGGGGGGGGGGGATTTATCAAAACTGGAGCAAACTGAATGTGGAGCAGTTGCCCACGGCAACCAATTGGCATCTCTCCAGTTTGCTCAGGTAAGATTTGAAAATGAGATAGAGAAGCTTATTGGCTGCAGTGCAAATCTGCTCCAGTTTTGATCAATTCCTCCCTGTGTGTAGGCACCTAAGACCTATATTGATTTGTAATTCTAATGTTAATGAGTATTGAACACCAAACACAACAATGTTCATAGATTGCAGCTTCTTAGTAAGTTGAAAGGATCTGTATCTTGCAGTGTTTTAGCCTGAAAAAGAAAACTAATGCAGCCGCTTCATCTCGGGGCTGGTAAGCTGCTACAAATTAAATTTTTTAACTTGGATTTAGATATACAAGCAGTTCAGCTCTTGTGCCCCGTACACTCATTATGGATTGCTGGGTTTTTTTCTCACTGATATCCGGCCTATTGATGCTGCAAGAAAGTTGCCATTACAAAGTAATATATTGTTGCTGGATTTTTTTTTTTTTTTTGGTGATTTTGATTTTATTTATGTAATTTTATAGACAAAACAAAACTTTAAAAAGGTCATTATTTACTGTAGATTAAAAGTACAAGCGTTCTTCTATAATTTATCTTGGAGTTGAATCAGTTTTTTTGAATTTGATAAGAAATATATAAAACAGCATGTGTGCAAAAACTTAAGGCGATGGTCCAGGAACAAGTGTAGACCTGCACAGAGATGAAGCTAGTGTTGCATAGTTACATAGTATTTGATCAGAAGAGGTAAAAAGAAAGGGGGAGGAGTACCCTGGGAGTAGCAGCGGACCTTTTCCCCCTTTTCACTAAAATCACCTCCCGCGTGCAGCTCTGCTTGCTGACATGAAATCATCCTACATTCATTAGTTAAACAAACCTATGTTGCCTTTACTTACGATTGTCTTTTCCACTTCCTGGTCCTCTTGGGCGTTAGTGATGTCACGTGCCCAAGCGTTGCACCCTGGGAAGGTTACATCAGCAGAGCATTGCTGGGAAATCCTCATCTGAGATCTCGGGGAAAGGCAGTTTTCCTCCCCTGAGATGATGTGCAGGGTCACATGTCCTAGTCCAGTGGTGGCGAACCTCGGCACTCCAGCTGTTTCGGAAAACTACAAGTCCCATGAGGCATTGCAAGGCTCTGACAGACATTAACTCCCAGAGGCAGATGCATGTTGGGATTTGTCGTTTTGGCACAGCTGGAGTGCCAAGGTTCGCCACCACTGACCTAGTCACATGTGCCAGAGTTCCAGGAAGTAAAGGTAAATCTAGTAGCCTGCCCTTAGTTAGAAAAGAACAGGGAGGAAAAGAGATAATGTACGCAAAGAATAAAAAGCCGGCAATTATCTAGAAGTACGTGTGTTTTGTAGATTTGTCGTTACTAAACATTTCTGAAGGTGTCTTTTGTTGTCATTTCCAAATTATTAAAATTAAAATTATAAATTTAAAATTATGTTTCATATTAAATTATAAATTTAATATGAAACAATATATAGGATGACAGGTCCACTTTAAGACCTTTTTTTTTTATTTCCTAACTGTCCTGAATGCAATTTTTGTGTATTTAATGCGGTCTTATAATATCGCTTTTATCCCGCATCTCTCTCCGTAGACGCACAAGGCAATGTCCATCGGACGCCAGGGGCGGGTCCAGGTGGAGGATATCGTGTTCCTGATCCGGAAGGACCCACGGAAGTTCGCCAGAGTGAAGGATCTGCTCACCATGAATGAGGAACTGAAACGTGCCAGAAAGGCGTTCGGTGAGGCCAACTACGGTTCCTGAGCGACCCTCTGCCATAACGACGTTATCCTAAAGGGTTCAGAGCGCTGCATGTTTTAGCCGCGTGTCCCCGGTGTGGTATTTGTTGGTTTTTCTATGTAAATATCGTGACAAGGCAAGCGAATAAACCTTTTTTTTTTTTTTTTTTTTTTTTTTTTTTGTATATTTTTTGTCTTTTCTTGCTTATATTTTCCCTTCTCTGGTTCCTCCCCTCCCCCCTTACCAACAGGCTAATGACCTTCTAAATAAATCTTTCCGTTGTCGTCTTTACATAGCTGATTTCAGTCCGGTTGATGTCATCGCTGGCAGTGAGGTGCGGTACCTCTTGTTCCTGGTGATGCATTCCCTAGTCTCGCCCCCCTGGGGCACACCCCGCCCCCTGCTGGACAAAGCCCCTCCCCCAACCCATCCCCAAGCTAGTGTGAAGGAGACGGGAGGAGCCTCCCTGACCCTCACATGCACGTCGCTGCTGAGGCATCGAGATCGATGGCCTCCAGTGGGATTTTTTTTTTTTGATTGGACAGCTTGGACCAATGGTGCTTTGCCATTGGCCCAAGCCATCCACAGAGCTGAAGCCTCTAACACAGAGCTGTGTGACAGAGGCAATTTCGTATTTCGGATAAAAAAAAAAAATGACTTTGGTTGACCAATCCAGTTTTCTCTTCTGCTGCTGAAGGTTGCATTACAATACAGGCAGGAAATACGAAATTCTGTTAATGTATTTCGGATAAATTAAAAAAAAACTACCATCGAATCCAATATTAACAAAGGTATTTTTGCTTTTTAACTTCATAGCGAATGTTCGTAAAGTTACGAAAATGTGACGAAACTAATAATTTGTATTTCGTACGAGTCCGGATTGTGTTTCGGACACGAAATAACGGATATAACGAAACTAAACTAATTTTTTGACGGCGCACAAGTCTAGAAAACAATAGAAGGGTTAAAGTCAGATCCCCCCTCTGTGTGGTTAGAAGCAATTGCCTGTCTGAGCTGTGTAGATTTATAGACCTCTGAACTGAGCCCGGTATGTCTAATGCCAAATCCCGGCGTTTCTCCTCGGCTAAAACCTCCCCGGGGCGGCTGGTATCAGTATGGTCGTTGCTATTGCAACTGACTACCCCCCAGTGTTTAGTTTGACTATGTTGAAAGCTCTCCTGCTGCCTGTAATTGATTGAGATATAAAACTGCACTGGAAACCTGCTCAACCTGTAGCCCGATATTGCGCACAAACTGCGAATCGCTGGGGCTCAGGAAAGACTCTGGCCACCTCAGAAAGCAACGACCGTAACGCAGGTTCCAGCACACAGCTTCATGTTCTGGTCCCTGAATAAACATCTGATGAACAGTTTACATCACAAATCGGCTAACGCGTTTCAGCCACACATGGCCTTAGCCAAGACTAAGGCCATGTGTGGTTGAAACGCGTTAACAGGTTTATAATGTGAACTGTAGGGATACTGATTCTTCAATTTTTTTTTAAACGTGAGCGGCTGCCCGCACTTCCTGGGGACCTCAGGCAGCTGTATTTGACAGTGCTGGTCCGACCACATCACCTTCTGCTCCTTCCAGGGAAGAAGGCCTGTCATTGGCATGGAAGGTCCCCTCTAAGAACAAGGGAAGCGGGCCTGTCATTGGCATGGAAGGTCACCTGTAAGAACAAGGGAAGCGGGCCTATCATTGGCATGGAAGGTCACCTGTAAGAACAAGGGAAGCGGGCCTGTTATTGGGATAGAAGGTCCCCTCTAAGAACAAGGAAAGCGGGCCTGTTATTGGCATGGAAGGTCTACTCTAAGAACAAGGGAAGCAGGCCTGTCATTGGGATACAAAGTCCCCTCTAAAAACAAGGGGTGAAGGCCTGTTATTGGCATGGAAGGGCTGCTCTGAGAACAAAGAAAGCAGGCCTGTTATTGGCATGGAAGGTCCACTATAAGAACAAGGGAAGCAGGCCTGTCATTAGCATGGAAGGTCCACTATAAGAACAAGGAAAGCGGGCCTGTCATTGGGATAGAAGGTCACCTCTAAGAACAAAGAAATCAGGCCTGTTATTAGCATGGAAGGGCTGCTCAAAGAACAAGGGAAGTAGGCCTGTCATTTGCATGGAAGGTCCCCTCTAAGAACAAGGGAAGCAGGCCTGTCATTAGCATGGAAGGTCCACTATAAGAACAAGGGAAGCGGGCCTGTCATTGGCATGGAAGGTCCCCTCTAAGAACAAGGAAATCAGGCCTGTTATTAGCATGGAAGGGCCGCTCAAAGAACAAGGGAAGTAGGCCTGTCATTTGCATGGAAGGTCCCCTCTAAGAACAAGGGAAGCGGGCCTGTCATTGGCATGGAAGGTCACCTGTAAGAACAAGGGAAGCGGGCCTATCATTGGCATGGAAGGTCACCTGTAAGAACAAGGGAAGCGGGCCTGTTATTGGGATAGAAGGTCCCCTCTAAGAACAAGGAAAGCGGGCCTGTTATTGGCATGGAAGGTCTACTCTAAGAACAAGGGAAGCGGGCCTGTCATTGGGATAGAAGGTCCCCTCTAAAAACAAGGGGTGAAGGCCTGTTTGGCATGGAAGGTCCGCTCTAAGAACAAGGGAAGCGGGCCTGTTATTGGGATAGAAGGTCCCCTCTAAGAACAAGGAAAGCGGGCCTGTTATTGGCATGGAAGGTCTACTCTAAGAACAAGGGAAGCAGGCCTGTCATTGGGATACAAAGTCCCCTCTAAAAACAAGGGGTGAAGGCCTGTTATTGGCATGGAAGGGCTGCTCTGAGAACAAAGAAAGCAGGCCTGTTATTGGCATGGAAGGTCCACTATAAGAACAAGGGAAGCAGGCCTGTCATTAGCATGGAAGGTCCACTATAAGAACAAGGAAAGCGGGCCTGTCATTGGGATAGAAGGTCACCTCTAAGAACAAAGAAATCAGGCCTGTTATTAGCATGGAAGGGCTGCTCAAAGAACAAGGGAAGTAGGCCTGTCATTTGCATGGAAGGTCCCCTCTAAGAACAAGGGAAGCAGGCCTGTCATTAGCATGGAAGGTCCACTATAAGAACAAGGGAAGCAGGCCTGTCATTAGCATGGAAGGTCCACTATAAGAACAAGGAAAGCGGGCCTGTCATTGGGATAGAAGGTCACCTCTAAGAACAAAGAAATCAGGCCTGTTATTAGCATGGAAGGGCCGCTCAAAGAACAAGGGAAGTAGGCCTGTCATTTGCATGGAAGGTCCCCTCTAAGAACAAGGGAAGCAGGCCTGTCATTGGCATGGAAGGTCCCCTCTAAGAACAAGGGGTGCAGGCCTGTAATTGGCATGGAAGGTCCACTCTAAGAACAAAGGAAGCAGGCCTGTCATTGGCATGGAAGGTCCACTCTAAGAACACGGGAAGCGGGCCTGTCATTGGCATGGAAGGTCCCCTCTAAGAACAAGGGGTGCAGGCCTGTCATTGGCATGGAAGGGCTGTTCTAAGAACAATGACATGTATTTCATAGGGGACATTGCAAAGTGCTACAGAGTTAGCCGGGGGACCCATATCAAAATGTTGCTTTGGGGCCCCCATGATTGGCTTGCTGTTTGACATTTCAGTGCAGCGGAGGCAGCATTGCCAGCCCACTACAGGAAGTTAGGAGCTCACTGGAGTTCTGTAGGTGTTCCTAACAATGTCAGTTTCTATACTTGCAGCATATTTAAAGGGGGCTTTCTCCATGCGTTGCAGAGATGTACTGTGTCATTCCCCCCTTCCCCCCCCCTTTTTGGTCACATCGCATACTCATGAAACATGGTCCCATCCACCCCCCCCAATGCACTTACCTGAATTGCAGGGTTCCTCTCCCTGCAGGCTTGTTTATATTTTTTAATTCCGTGTGGCTGAGAGCACGCCTCCAACCACACAGCCGTGTCACCCAATCAGATCCATCTGCCCGATGAGGGATGTGTAGTTCTCTATGTAAGACATGAGCTGTGACGTCACCATTTGTAGACCATTGACACTTCCTTCCATCCCTGTTACTGAATGTCCATACCTCAGTGCGGACATGGGACAGGAGGAAGAGTCTGCAGGAGCCAGAGCATTGCACCCATGGTCTACTGATCCACTGATGGTGGTTGCAGTGCTTTCCTGGCTTCTATGCACAAGAAATAAGAAATTAACATTATTTTTAATGAAGAATTGTACATTTATTATATTTTTTAAACAATAGTTGGGATTTCCCTTTAACATATAAAACGTTCATTTATAAAAGAGGCCGAGGAGCAGGTTGAGGAGCCAGATGGACCAGCAACCAGTGGCGTAACAATCGCCATAGCGACCCAGACGGCCGCTATGGGGCCCGGGCACAGGGGGGCCCGGCCTGGGTCGCTATGGCATGTGGGGGTGCTGGCTGTCACAGACACAGCTCCGCAGCGGCCACGGCGCATTTCCCCTCATAGCCGCTGCGGAGCTGTGTCAGTGACAGCCAGCCGCTGCGGCAGATGAGGGCGGTGTCCGGAATGGAGGAGGTGGGGCCCGCCTCCTCTTACATCACTGGCCAGCGACCTAAGAGCAGGTTGGGGCCAGTGATGTTATAGAAGGCGGGGCCCGTCGATAGCAGAGGAGTGGGGGGCCCGGGGACGGAACAGGAGTCGGGGGCCCGCCGACTACAGAGGCGCTGACAGGTAAGAGATCTCAGACCCTGCAGAGTCCACTATAGAGAGTCTATGGTGGGCTCTGCAGGGTCACTCTCCGCTGGGGCTCTGCAAGCGGCATAACTAGCAATCACGGGGGCCCCACACAAAATTTTGCTACGGGGCCCTGTGATTTCTAGTTAGGCCCCTGTCAGCAACCGGTTCGTATTCTACCGAAATCTGGATTTTTACAAATGAACATAATCCGGGTGCCCCCATGATGCTGGTTATGCAAATCGCTCTGGGATTTCTAAATAGACAGCACCGGCTTTTCCCTCCTCAGCAGCAAGCCCCGTATGTCCTATAAATGTATATTGTAAAGCGCTGTGCAAACTGTTGGCGCTGTATAAATCCTGTGTAA